ATTCTAGAGGCTGGTCGATGTAGGCGACTTGGATGGTATCGATAAGGGAGTGTACTTGTTCAATTAAAGCGGGTGCGAGTTTGAAGTGCAATTGACAACATAATATGAAGGTAATTCTTGTCTTTTTCTTTCGGATGAATTGATGTAGAGATACCCAGGTAGGGAAACTGCACAAGTAACTTGTTCACAACTTGGAATCATACGTGGACGTTTTGGAAAGTTATGCGTTTTCCAATGGACCACGTAGTTATGTGTATAGGTAGGTAAGCAAGTGAAAGTGCGCGCGGCGGTGGGAGAAATGTATGGATAATATGAAGACTTGAATGCGTGGTTGGGGAGTTCTGGATCGTGTCGCGAACTTTTTTTAATCTTTTACGGAACCAATTAGATATTGCTCTACCTAGTCGCTCTTTCTTGTTTTTTTCTCTCATCCAATACCCTCACGTGGAGGATTTAAGCTGGAAAAAAGAAAAAGAAAAAGAAGTTGCAGGATTTCGGGGACTAAGTTAAGACTTACAGTAATTGGACAGATGGGTTGATATTGAGTTATTGCATTCGAATGATATGTAGGTAGGTATGTAGGTATGTATGTATGTAGTAGTCTGTATGTATGTAGTGTAGTATGTGGTAGCAATGTTTGACAAGAGGGCGGAGTGATGTATGTGACGGGGTACGACGGTGAAGGGGGTTATCGGAAGTGTCTGGGGGGTGGTTATTCTTGAGGTATAACTGGTTGAAATGGGGTCCTGCTGGTCGATGAAGATTGATATAGATTGACGAGTGGATTTGGATGATTGGAAGACGGAAGACGGAAGACAATGAACAAGTCAGAAGGTTTGGCAAAAGATAGAGATGGGGGAGGGGGGGAGGAGTCGAAGTGAAGATTGAGAATAATCGGAAAAGAGGGTTGTGATTGTAAATGTGAATGTGAACGAGACCTCTAAGACCTTTCAGAACTCAGACCCGTGGGAATGGACAGTAGATCTAGGTATGGAGTAGAATAGGACGTACCTAGTCGACTCCTAGTCTCGTAGTCTTCTAGTCTCGTAGTCTTCTAGTCTCGTAGTCTTCTAGTCTCGTAGTCTTCTAGTCTCGTAGTCTTCTAGTCTCGTAGTCTTCTAGTCTCGTAGTCTTCTAGTCTCGTAGTCTTCTACTCCCAGTCTTCTAGTCTCCCAGTCTCCCAGTCTCCCCGTCTCCCCGTCTCCCCGTCTCCTAGTCATTCAGAATTTGTGTTTGTGTTTTGATATGACCCATTTATTATTTTCAATAATACTAGAACCTGGGCGTACGGAGCATTCCCACGGGGGGGGGGCTCGGAGGCAGTATGGATGTGGGTGCGGATGTGGATGTGGGCAATTATCAATTAGCAATAATGGACTTGGAACGAAAGAGAAAAAAATAGATTGTGGAGCCAGACCAAGCATACTATTCCATACTATCCCATGCCCTACTATATCACCATCTTCCCTATGAATATCCATTATATATTGTATCCTCCGTAGAACATTCCTACTCTTTCTGTACGTACAAAACGACAAGGTAGTAAGTAGATACCTGGGTATAATACACGACTACACCAGTATACACGACTACACCACTTAATCGTGCTCTTCTTCACTTGTTTACTTACTCACTCACTTACTTACTTCTTGCCTTCCTCCCCTCCTCCCCTGCCCTGACCTACCTATTCCGTAGTACTTATTCATGACTTGTCAACAACTCTGCAAAGTACAGTATTCCTTTTCTTTTACAAGGTGTATAGTCATAGTATCTCCGGGGCACACTGTACATCGTATAATACCTACTGTATTCCACACATATATCATTACTTTATACCCAGGCTCAGGCTCAAGCTCAGGCCCAACTTCAAGCCAGGTATCTCGGAATAAGTCCACTTTTTACTTCTTCTTCTTTTGGGACCATTGAACTCTGCACCGACCGTTGCGTCCTTGTCAATAAGTAGGCTGTAACCAATAGCCTCCAAACTCACGCGGCGTGAAGCGTCCATAGCTTTATGAAAGGAGACGGAGAGATTGAGGGATTGATGGACGGATGGCAATCAAGAGCTAGATGATTTAATTGGTAGTATGTTCTTTCTAAATACAATGCCGACGGATATCTGATACATTACTATTACATAGCTAGGTACGAGTATCTAATACATTACCTTTACATTACTGCATGACGATGATTTGACAATCAACCTCTCTTCCTCCTTTACTTATCCCAAAGAGGAAGCTTATGTATTGCATTTGATCATAATACATAATAGTCACATGTTACTACATGTTACCATACCAATTCATTCATTCATACCTTAATATGTAGGTATGGTTAACTATGCTCGCTACACCTCTTTTCCTTCCTTTCCTACTTGCCGCTCTTCTTCGATCGTTCGGAGCTTGCGCAAGACATTTGAATACTGTACCAGCACCAGCACCAACGCCAGCGCCAACATCAATCCCAATACCCCGAAAGGCCTTAGAAACGCCTAAAAACTTGGCGGATCTCTCAAGGCTCAAGAGTCGACTACGGTCAGGTCAGTCTACACTCTACACTCTACATATATACTTCCTTCGTGCAAGAGATCTTCCAAATGACTTTCTTTATATGGATTAATGGAAACACCAATATACCGTCGGAACTTCTCTTCCCATCCCTAGTTGAGGAAGTCCAGATTTCTTTCTCACATAATGAGCGGGTCATATCGTTATTCTATTCATGGATCGATCCTCTTTTTTCAAACTATCTTTCTTGCTCCGGAATCCGTACCGTATCGTACAATACAGTGTACAGAATTCCATCGACACCTCCTCACACTTACCGGTACCCGTCCAATCTATGCTTGCTCGTCCAAAAGCCCTTGCTCGTGATAATTAATATCTTGCTCTATTGTATGGATTGATTTAATCTAGGGGCATTCGATTCATCTTTCCATAATCCTAGCTGACCCAATCGAATTGGAACTAAACAAGGTGTAGCGGACAATGTATACCGACTTGGAAATAACAGAAAATGGTAAGGAAGACGGATCCCAACGCCTCGGGGAACAGGGGAAAGATCAAATAGTCGGTCTTATTACCTATTACATCCATAGTCAGTGGTGGGTCGCATTCCGCCCGTTTTTATCAGTGGTTGATTTTAGTTGAAAGGTCTTTTGCCGGTATTAGGTCATAAGGCGGAAAAGAAATGCTGTTTCTCGGCCCAGGAAGATAGTAGAACAGAAAACCTTTGACAAACTAGAGAATTTTCGGAACCTAATATTGTTCTAATTATACCACTGCGGACAAAACTGAGACAATCGTCGTTGATTTAAATACCAACCCAGCGTTTGTCTGTTATCCATACGTATATATGCAAGTGGGAAAAGCTTTTCGCTGAAGAAGGCTCATCACATCTGTATCAGCTTCTATCAAACCTGAGCTTCTTTTCTTCAAATGTTAGATGGAAGATGTAATAATGACGAAAGGTTGTGCAAACAAAAGTAATAATGCACTGTAAAAATATTCAGTCTACACCTAAAATGGTGATCTTCCGTGTGTATTTATGCGCGCATCGCCTAGATTCCTTATTGAGGCTAAGCTTTGCCCTGTCAAAGTCCACAACATTTGAGACACCCCTGGTGCAGGAACCCGACCGTCGATCCAATGATCGAGGGCCATGCCGTTGTTTCTCGTTGTTTCAAGCAATGTGTGCTACCCCGTCCCTAGTCCGCCTCGCGATTCATCACATCTGATATCTTGTTCAAGCTGTGCCAGGAAATACATTACCGCCCGCCTTGCCTTATCGTTGATGAAAAGAGACGCCATGCGCATGACTTCTGAAAAGGTATTGTTTCTTGTTGTTTGTGTGAGAAAAGTTTCGGGGGGGCACAGAATCGACTCAATTGCTTGTCAAGCTTCTCGCCTCTAATTCAATCAACCCAGAACAAGTTGTTTGCTAGCTTAAATGGACCCCTACCAGATCAATGAATCAATCAATCAATATCCGTGCGGGAATGGAAGGATACAGATGCCGCAAACTTTTAATTGGCGGGTTAACCAAATGCTTCGTCAACCAACTGGTAACACGGAGTATGTTTTTGGGCCTGCTTAAATACCCCACAGTCAGGACCATAGAAGTGGTACCTCTGTAGAAGAACAAAAAAGTGGAAAACCGTGAAAGCTCTCATTCATCTTTGGAGGAAGTAAACAAAAACAAAGTGCACTGTTCGCATAACACTCTTTACGAGGCAACCCCTTAGCAATGTTATAATATTCGTTGCATATGGTCTCGCGCACAATGAGTAGGACAGCATACTCAACAACCTCAGGTTCCAGTTCATTTTATGGCACTGTAGTGTTTTGAGCATCCTAAGGTGGATGACCAAGAAAACATCTTTACCTACTAGATGTCTACTGCCGTTTATAGTAACCGCAGGCCAGTCGAATAAGAGGTCCGCCGTTGTTTGGGTAATTCTTGGTGAGAGCTCTTAGGTCGCTCAAAACATGGATCAGAATGAATGATGAGTTGAGTTCGATCGACGTGGTCCAGACACCCAGCCTCCTGATTTAGCTAGTCCTCGCGTGGAGTGTTCCGTTTCACTATGACCAAATTCAACACCCAAAAGCTCTATTGGTAGCTAGCAAAGAGTAAACGCGACATAAAGTGCAACTTAAAATATATAGGCTGGGCACACGAATATTTCGCTTTGAACATCATTACGTTGAGAGAAAATCAAGATTCCGTAATGCATCACAACAACAAGTAATGTTGAACGTTGTAAAATAGAAATCTGAATCTCGTTGAAGCGGCAGACAAATAAATACCGGCACACTATTGCAACGTTGCTGCAGTCCATCACGGCCGCCAATCGAACATGGCAAAATTCGCTAGTTCACAAGGGATAGTACCTAGATATTGGGACAATTGTACACATCCCTCGGATGATCTCCTGCCATGTGAAATATGCCACGTTCTTCCACCGAGGTGTTTATCGGAATCGTTGATTGATTGATTTTTCAAATCCAATGTTGAGTCCAAATTTCTCGTTGGGCTTCGCTTCCCTCGAACTTATGATCTCAGCATTAAACATACAGGGAAAAAAGGGTATGCAGTGAGACGTACCTTGAATGGTACTTCTGTAATATCCTGGAATCCTTCGATCAATTCAGGTCGTTGGTATCTTGAATTGAAGCTTGTGAAGGCCAATTTGGGAAGTATCTTTCTCTTTTCAGGGTTCATCTGTATCGGATTAGAAATTCATGGCTTAGGAAAGACAACGTAGCATGGATCTTTTCATGAATGAAGAGGGTAATCCATTGGAGTGAAGAAAGACGTACGGTTTCATTCAAGGCTCGCACAGCATCGTTGTGCTCGCATACTTGTACACTTGTTAGAAAATGAACACAGCGGATCGGCACGGAATGCTTGGCAGCCAGTGCTATCCATTTACTGCGAACATCTCGATCTGCATTAGTATTGTCTAGAAGATATCAGTTTTACTGTCCTCGTAGAGATGCAGTGCAAGCTCGACTACTCACCCACGACCACAGACTTCCCCTCATCTAGATATTGACCAGCGACTTTAAAACATTTATCACGCTCCTCGGACGTTAGCCTAAGTTCCGTAATCGTTGGCAAATGCAGCACATACTGTCTTGAGGATGTCTTGGTTAACTCTGGCATAACCAAGAGGTTCCAATTGCTTCCAATAGAATGTAGATTTTCCAGCGCCAGGACTACCACAAAAGATAACTATGTCTTTCGGGTTGTCTTTTTTGTACTTCGGGGACACTGAAACAACGTCAAAAATAAATCGGCCAGACAAACTTAATGATACCAACCTGTGGTGTTTTCAGAGCGGTAATCTCCTGGTTCGAAGGTGCGAGTGAACGATCTTGGTGTTTCGTCGAGAAAATATTCTTCGGGAGTGTAGAATTTGATCCCGACATTCTCAGCGAAATTCCTACGAATGTCAACAATCGATCGAAAATTAAGAGCCCGCGATAACGTTACCGATCTGAACAAGAAAAGTCCTTTGGTTTTCCGGTACTTGCGTTGCGCCCGGCAGCATCTCCAACAAAAATGGATTCCTGTAGTTTGAGATCACCTGGAAGATGAATATCAAAGTCCTCAAGTAATTCCTTCCACATGCCCGTTCGTGGCTTTCGGTAGATATCCTTTTCGGTTGCTGCATATATGCTCACTGGGATATTGAGATGATTGAAGACTGCAGATACTTTTGTCTTGAATTCAGCAAGTCGAGCTTTGGGGGATTTGGGGTCTGTTTTGAGTGAAATACCAGCTTGATTGCTGATCACCACGACACGAAAACTATAGAACATTCAGCACTTCGGAACGATATACGAGAAAACGTGCCACCAACCCATCATCTAAGTATAGTTTTCTGAGAGTACCAGGAACCGATGGGTGCCACCACTTCCAATCTTGGCCAGTGGTAGAATGTTTCTTTCCAGACGATGTTTGTATGAGAGTGGAGTCCTATAGTAAGATATTATTAGGTTGCTACTCCAGATATTACAAAGCCAATACTTACAAAATCGAAAGCTGCAACTTTGTTTCTTTCCAAATTTTGTGATAAGACTTCCTTGCCTGGGCTATTCAGTGGTTCAAACTTGCCAACCAACAGCGTGTTTGGTGAATCTTCATTTAGTGCGCGTTCTTGCCAGGAAATTTTCTCGGGTGGTTTTTGTGACGTAGGCGTGAAAAATGATGCAACATCAGTCTCTTTCACTTAATTTCAGCTACCAAATCTTACATAGCTAAGGTGGAACTTACGTGTTGTTGTAGACTGTACTTTGCGACGCAATGGTGGAGGTGATATTGGGCGGTCTGTACTCGACTTTCTCTTCTGTGCATTACCAGGGCTTGCCATAATTCTCCAAATATATTTTGAGGTAGGTGTCGGGAGATTTTTTGCTGATACAGCAAACAGCTTGATATCAAGCATGTATCACTGGCATTCTTCTTTATTGCCTCTGGCCTTTTTGTTGATCAAGTACAAACATTTCAGAAGATCGGGCCGTCCAAGCTGCGCACGAGGCAATCACGAGACAGTCACGACAATCACTAAAGTCACGTGTTATTTTAATACAACCATTGAAATTCCTTCCATTCTAGGCAAACAAAGCACATACAACTAATATTCAGCCTCGATTCTCCCTTTCTATACACAACCTATGGATTGTGTCTTTTTAAAGTATACTCAATAGATCTCTGAGAGGTATTGTCGTAATTGAATACAATTGCGAACAAAATCAAGCAATTACCACAGCTAAGTCATTCGTTCTACAAACATCACGCCCTACAGCTGTTATTATCATTGTTTTGGAACTGACGGCGTGCTACCGTTTCCTCAATAGAGAAGTTCTACTGTTCCACATTTTGATGTTTCATGGTCATTGTGTTTCCATGATATCTTCATTTGGTTTCCAGTCATAATGTCACGCATGAGTTGCTCTGCCAGCTATGGGATCTAATATCCCTTGTACATGAAAGCTGTGATGCACTTTGGTATTACTCTCCGATCTCTCATTTACATTAGAATCTCTTCTATCAAGATTTCGATGAAAAGTTTCGTAACACATGGTTTCAAGGCATGTTAAGATATACTTGGAGTTTGCATGCTACAAATTAGGATCATTTGGGGCGGTCGGTGTCTGTAGCCATTAATTCATATAGTTTGATAGATAGCATATATAAAGGGGTTTTGTTTGAGCAGCGCGTCTTATTGTCAAGCTATATACACATTTGTCAGAGCGTGGTGGTGCTGGTTCACTTTCTCTGCTATGATGTTCCAACAATCTTTGTGTCCGTTCTCTGCCAATCTTCCTGGCTCCAGATCGATTGAAGAATTATAGGGACCCGTCTCACATAGAGGATATCTAGTCAATCACAAAAGCCAGCTCCATTTACATTGGCTTCTCTTGTCCGTTCAAGTCGCATGCCTGGCCCATTCTTCCGCGAGCCGACAGATCGATCATCCTACATCATATACACTCATGTATTCGTTGAGAATCATGACCTGCCCCTTTACTTGTCGTCCATTCACAGTCCATCAGTTAGCGTTAAAAATGGCACTCATGAGGTTATTGATATTGACTATAAGATTACCTTTACGTGACCATCCACAGTCACTGAATCAAATGGAAGGATGAGAATAACGCAATATTCTTTAAAAGCATGTCCAGCCAATGGTTTCTGGTCATCTTGTAGTTTCTGATCAGATCCCTGCGAGACATATGGCTTCGAGTTTGATGAGCTTGCTCGCAGACCACTATGGTCGTCTGTAGATGTGAGTTCGAATGGCAAGATACACTGGAAACAGGCTTACGGATGAAGCCTGTCTCTAGTGTATATCTAAATATTTACCGTTTGGCTTACTCTGTGTTATTCGGTTGGCTCTTCTATCATGGAAAATGGGAAGCAAAATTGACCGAGTGCAAGTACTGTCTCTGATACAGGGTTTCTTGCAATCATCCGGGCATCTATATATTATTTCCTGTATAATTAGTATACAGTTGGAAGTTACTGCATGCTATTATAGAACGCGCAGACTTAGTTTTTACATCCAGAACATTATGTTTCCGCTATCATGATTATCTTCTGCTTTGGTGTATACAACTACATCCTTCAGTCCTCAGATCATTTTGGTATCAAGATTCACTATGAACGGTAACTACACGCCATATCCATGTATTATATGCCTCCTTGATTTTTGATACCATATTCGTGGATCCGTAAGCCAATGGTTATAGCTTGCCCAAAATCACGAAACACTATGGGGTCGCATTTATCGGCCTGAGAGCTTCACATACACAATAACTTCATACTGCAACTTGGTGCCACTATTGTTTTCCCAAGTTCAAATGTAACTCAGTGTCTTTTTGTAAGAGCTTTTTCTTGTTAATTTATATAATAATTGTGAGTAGTAGTAGTAGTAGTAGTATTGATTTTCGTCTAATAAATATAGATTTAAATCTAATATTCTGTAATCTCCTGAGGAGTATAGAGATACATTAAGCAAAGGGGTTGTAAAACTGAAATAAATAAATAGTTATAAAGAGATTCTGATTTACAACAAGCTTTATAAAACTATTCGAGTATGATTTTCTATTTTATTTAATAAAAAAATACAAATTAATGTAAAAATGATACTTGCTTTCATGATAAAAAAGAACAAGGGATACGATGACTCTCACCTATACGTGGTGTATCCTACAAACCTTCGATCGTGCGATCGGAGAGCTAAGTAGAGTCAACTGGAACCGGATAATGGTTGTACACTAATCGGAAGCTATACTAAGAGCAAAGGTACACACAGCTGATCACCAAAAGGTAATCACAAAGATACTCGAAACAAAGGATTACCAGCAAAACGAAGATGAAAACTATTCGATAATAGAAAGGAGATAAGAACAGGATTGATATAGAACTATACCTTTACAAATCTGTATAAGAAGCAGAGCTAGAGCATATCACAACAGAGCATCTGCAAAGCGGAACTAGTCCTTGAAACAGCGAATAATGAAGCTTCTATAATATAGCTGAATCTAACTGAAGTCTGTATTGGGAGTAGGGCTGATATCCTTAACTTAACAAACGAAAATCGACAGAACACTTTTGGAGTACTAGCATACAGAGTTTTCACAATCTAACAATACATACGATCTGCAGGTATACTGAATCGAATATTTACAAATAGTAAAGGGAGTAGTAGGAAGTATATAAAGACTAGGACAGTATCTATTAGAACCGGCAGGAGTATATATAGAGTAGGAAGAGGGATGTTTTTAATACCTTACCTTCAAGTACACAGGAACAGCATAACAACAGAGAAGCTCCGATACAAGAAGGATGCTTTTAACAAACCACACTCGATATACTCGATCGATATTACAACAGCAGAGGATCTCAGGCAAAGGCCAATCCTACGATATACATATACAACGCGCTCCTAGCACTCTACTTTCGATTACAAACTATACATTGAGGAAATAAATTCTACAAACAGAGCTTTAATTAGTAAATTGAAAATACTATAAAAGGGCTACCTAACTAGGGATCTGAAATAACAAGCCTGTGAAATATAGTCGGTCTTATTGTATAAAAGAGATTCAACAAAATAATACAAAACAGCTACTAACCACAAAACATAACATATAATAACAGCAACAACGACACTATCTATATAGCTCGAAAGGATGGATTGTGACGATTCAGTCCCTTTCAGGTTCCTTTCTCAATCACTTAGCTTCTAGGACCTTAGCCTAGCACATGACTCATTGATATATATAGTCCGGAGCCCTTATAGTTCTCTTTTTATTCTTTTCTTCCTTCTTTAGTTTTAGATTCTAAGATAGAATTGAATCCTTTTATGACAGTCCTTTATATTATCTAAAATTCATTTATACAAGCCTCTGCCGGTGACGGCATATCAAATAATATCTCATCTTTTCCTAGGTTATTCAAGTATCGATATTGCATGGACTAGAAGAATCTATATTAAAAGATAAGGAAATGTTTTTGAAGAATAGTTAATCAATAACAATCCCTTAATCCTTATATCAATTCTTCAAGAAGATCGAAAAGAGTTGCAAAGAAGTGTATCTAAGCTTTTCCTTACGATTTCAAAGAATTCAATACGATTATAGTTTTTTAAAGCAAAAAACTACTATATATTTCTCCTCCTCAAGCAGAAGCTGGCCTTTCCATTTCAACCTCAAATCAGTTTGCTGTTTTCAACAATAACAAAGAAGATTCGAATTCCCTTATTTCTAAAACGATTATATTACAAAAAGGCAAAAAACCAGATAAAGAAGAACTCTCTGCCTAGACCAATAATCTTTTCAATCTTATTACTCAGCAAAATACTACTATTACTGAATTGAGATTGGAAATCAATAATATTCATACTTCTCATTCTTCTAAAAATAACTCTTGAAATCAATCCCTTATTCCCTAGGAAGCTTTATATCAGTTAATCCTTGATATGATCGAATTTGTGAATCCTATAGAAGTTATTATATACTCTTCACACAAAAAGAATATTTATCTTATTCCTGATTCGATCTCTCCTCGACAACCCACATTTGATAAGCAAGGCACAACTTTCTCTACTCCCTATAGAATAAAGAAGATCCCCCACCTTACGGAAAAGCTTTCGGATAGTAAAGCCTTGAAGCCCAAACTATGGAAATATTTGATTGAATGTAACCTGGAACAATATGCATATGCTTTTACTAACAAAAGGCAACGCAGGATTTACATTATCGCTAATACTGAAGGTATAGCTTGTGATCACTTGCAGCCCCTACTCTTTAATCCCTCTCCCGAATATGATGCACAAGGATTAATTGAAGTCGCTGTATAAGTTACTACTGATCCGGCCAAGCAATGAATAGCATTAAATCAATATGAAACATTAAGACAAGGCGCAAATCAGCCATTTTGGGAATTCTATCAAAAATTTCGATAATTAGCTAATACTACCGGAATTCAAGATAGTTCTACTCTTCTCAATAGTTTTCGAAATCGAATTAATACCAGATTAGTATATACTTGTGTTACAGAGTTTATTAGTTTTCGAAGTATTAATGATTATACAGCTCTCCTTCAAATTCATAATATAAATTATCGATCTATTAAAGCTAGGGAATATACAATCATATCGGCTACCTGATCGAACCCTGCTAGCAACCATACGACTGCTTTATAATAATCACGCTCTACACCTAAGACTAATCAAGAGATCCTATTACATTTTGTGAATATTGTTTTACCCTGTTTATCATTGAATTATTGATTCAATATAGTTTCTATCTCGAATAATCCTTATCATAATTCCCAATCTTGGAAATCTAATGATCCAGCGAGAAATTCGATTTTAACTCAATCTGATTTCTGAATTCAAAAGATTATCAGCATTGATAAACTTTTTAATAAACTTAC